CTGTGTCTGTTTGAAACAGGCTCATCAATTAAGTATTGAACAATAATGAACAAAGAGAGCATGAGAAGAATGAAAGCACTAATAAAACCTTAACACTATAAGCATGACTCTATGTAACCAAAACACTACAAACACCAGTCTCTGTAGCAAATCAGTTCTCAATTATTTCTTCATAGGATGGAATTTAAAGAAAATGACATTCTGTAACAACTCATTTCTCTTATCAAATCTTGAGAGGAGTGTTGAAAAGTGTATTAGTACGTTTCTGTTGTTCATAACAAAAAAAGCGCAACTGGGTGATTTAAAGAACACAAAATTTATTGTTTAGAGTTTCAAGTGCTGGGATATCCAAAGTCTAAGGAACAATGTGTTCAGGGTCTCGGTGGTGACTTCAGTGACTCAGGGTATCACATTGTGAAATGCAGATCAGATAGAGCAGAGAGAGAGACTAACCTGCTCATTCACTCTCCTTCTAAAGCCCTCCAAACCATGCCCCTGACCACCATTTTTAGTCCATTCACTATGGCATGGTCCTACAATCTAATCACCCCTTCAAGGACCCACCTTTCAATTACCATAAGAGGATTTCCCACCCTCTTGACAGTCACAGTGGGGGCCAAGTTTCTAATACATAAAAACTTGGGGGACACAATTCAAGTTTCAGTGAATTTGGGAGGGACATAATTCAATCTAATACATTCCACCCCTCACCCCCTAAAACTCATGTCCTTTTCACACACAAATCGGTTCATTTCATCCCCAGAGTCTTAACTTCTTTCAGCTCAAAAGTCCAAAGTTCAAAGTCCCATCCATGAAATTAACATGTTATCTACTTCCAAGATACAACGGTGGGACAAACATAGGGTACATATTCCCATTCCAAAAGGGAAAAATAGGCCACAAGAAGATGTAATAGGTCCCAAACAAGTCTGAAACCCAGCAGGGCAAGTGTTAAATCTCAAAACTTGCAAATCATCTACCTTGATTCCATGTTCGAGGTCCTCTGCACACTGGTGTGCGGGTTGGTTCCCCAAGTACTCAGGCAGCTCTGCTTCTATGGCTTTCCTGGTCTCAGTTGATGCTTTAGCTCTCACAGGCTGGCGTTCCACTATGGTAGGTCCACAAGTCTGGGGTCTCTGTGGCAGTCATGCTTTCATGGCTCCACTAGACATGGCACTGTTGGGGTTTCTCTGCTTCAACTCTGACCCTACATTTCTGCTCAGCATTGCTCTAGGAAAGACTTTATGTGGTGACTCTGCCACTGTGACAAATCTCTTCCTGGGCCCCAGGCTTTTCCATACATTTGTTGAAACTGGGGCGGAGAATCCCAAGATTTCATAGCTCTGCTATTCTGTGAGCTTACAAACTTAACACCACGTGGACATTGCCAAGACTTCTGGCTTGTATTTTCCAAAGGTGCGGGTCCAGCCACACCTGGGGCCAATTTAGCCATAGCTGGAGCAGCCAAAAGCAGCTTTCCCAGGTGGCACTGGGCAGCAAGCCTGTAGAGGACACCTCATGCCTGTTCCCCAAGACCATTCTGTCGTCCCTAGACCTTTGGGCCTGAAATGGAAGCGTTGGCCCCAGAGGCTTCTGCAGTGTCTTCAGGGCCTTTTCCCCCTTCTCTTGATAATCCCTTTCTTTTGTACTAATCTTCTTAGCACCACTGCATTTTTCTTCTGAAAATGCTCTCTGCTTCTCTACCACACAGCCAGACTGCAAATTTTCTAAATCTTTACATTCTGCTTCCCTTTTAAAATCATGCCTTGGCTGCCATAACTCAGCATAGGCTGTTACAAGTAGTCATGCAACTTCCTTAATGCTTTGTTGCTTAGAAATTTCTTCCACCAAATACTCTGGTTCACAACTCTTAAGTTCCAACTTCCACAAAGTCTTAGGGCATGGACACAATGCAGCCAAGTTCCTTGACAGTTCATAGCAAAGTTGATCTTTGCCCCAGTTTCCAATAAACTCCTTCTTATTTCTAGCTGAGATCTCCTTAGGATGGTTTTTACAGTCCATAAGCATTCTGCTTAACACCATTTAACCAGTCTCTCAAACTTTCCCTGGTTTTCTTGTCTTCTAAACTTTCGCCAGCATCTAGGTTTTTTCTAGCCTGTTCCTCCAAATTCTTCCAGCCTCTCCTCAACATCCAGTTCCACAGCCACTTACATATTTTCAAGTATTTGTTATAAGCAACACCCCACTCCTCTGGTACCAATTTTCTGTATTAGTCTGCTTCTGTTGCTTATAACAAAATACCTGCAACTGGGTGATTTATAAAGAAAACAAAAGGTATTACAGTTTCAGAGGCTGGGACATCCAAAGTCCAGGGAACACATCTGTTCAGGGTCTTGGTGGTGACTTCAGTGACTCAGGGCATCACATTGTGAAATGGCAGAGCAGAGAGAGATACTAACTTGCTCATTCACTCTCCTTTTAAAGCCCTCCAAACCATGTCCATGACCATCATTTTTAATTCATTCACTACATCATGGTCCTACAATCCAATCACCTCTTCAAGATCCCACCTTTCAATCACCATAAGAGGATTTCCCACCCTCTTGACAGTCACAGTGGGGGCCAAGTTTCTAATACACAAAACTTGGGGGACACAATTCAAGCTTCAGTGAGTTTTGGGGGGACATAATTCAACCCACTACAAAAAGCAAACAAATGGAGGGATATAATTCACAGATTAATTAATTAATTCAATATTTGTGGAATGCCTACTATACTCCAGGTATTATCATAGGTGCTGGGAGTACTTATATCACTTATCTTCAGTCATTTACTGATATATTCTAAGTATTCCCTTAAATTAGCATATTTATTTATAGAAAAGTTGACATTCCCTCCATTCTTAAATCTCTCCTTAAAGAAATAAGTACTTACTTTTTCCCCACTGGGCTAAAAATATCATTTACATGAGTAACATTTTATGTTTTTTCCCTTAACCATAGCTATTACTAGATAGGCAAGTGTTTGTGAAACTTCCTGTACAAAAGATCCTCCCCCAAATAACCTTAACTATAATGTCTTACAGTCACAAAATAATACTTCTAAGTTTTCCTCCTTGGGCACATTTAATGTTTGAACAAGTAACTTTTGAAAAGCTAAACAAAACAAAACTTGTATTAAATGGTCCATTCTTAACCTTATCATTAACAGTATATTTTTACTAATTATCTTGTGCTAAGAAATGATGAGCAATAGCATTTTTTTAATCCTTTGCCACTGATTTAAGCTGTTTAATTCTGTTGCTCTGTCTTGGAAGACTTAATTATTAGGAATCGACTAAATGGAGCTAAAAATGAAAAGTACAAAATTGAAAAACTACCCAGATGTTTGTGTTCAAACAGGGATTATCTTTCCTTTACATTTTCCCCGATTTTCACCAACTGAATATACAGTTTTTTCAAATGTTTAGCAGGGTGCTAAACATCTATATTTTATTTGTCCTCAGGCATATTTTAATTTCTCCTTTTCTTTATACTGGCTGATCTTTTGAAAATATTAATAATTAAAATACTTACACAGTTGAAAAAATGTATTAAATTCTTATATTTGATGATTTTTACCTTCTAGAAATCTTTCTAGACTTATATTGAATCAGAACTTCTGTAAAGGATGTAGGCTAACACTGACACGTCAGGCTTATAAATTTAAATAAAAACTAGTAATGGGTAAAAAGGAATGAACAGTATATATGATAAATAATTACCAATATAACTATTTAAAATTTTATTCGGAGTTTCATAGTTTTTATATATTTTAATCATAATAATGTAAAGCAAATAGGCTCATAAAATGTAAAAAATTATCTCCTTTTGTTTTTAGTTTTCCATTTGTCCATTTAAATGCAGAATATATCTTGTAGGTGTTCCAAAATTTTGGTACACATATCAATATGATGTGCATTTTAAGTTTTCTAGCAGATTTAATCTTTTACATGCTGTGGATATTTTTTCTCAAACTCATGTGACTCGTAATGTTTTCAAGCAAGTGATATTCATCACAGCTTTGTTCCTGAGTGTAAAAAATATTGAAAAACATAAGTCTGACTCAATAACAAACTCTTAAATAAGTTACAGTACATCCACACAATGGAATACTATGCAATCACTGAAATGATGATATAGATATTTATTGGCATGAAAAATGATTATGGTTATGTTTAAAATTAAAAAACATACAAAACAGTACATATACTTTTTTGTAAAAATGTGTGTTTGTACATAGGAAAAAAGGTATGGAAAGATATGCATATATCGAAAATATTAACAGTTGTTATATCTAAACTGTAGGAATTTTACTTCCTTCTTCTGCGTTGTGTACATTTTTTTCCAATGAGTGTGTATTAGGTTTATAATCAATAAAAACAGTGATTTCCATTTTGGAAATGTTTGATCATTAATATACATGCAATTTGTAGACAAACAATTATATAGAAACAGTTATTCTCATTATTTTATGGTGAAAGAGCTAACAAAAATTTTAACAAATACTGTTATGCATGAAAACAAAGATTTGTATATACGGTAATAAAAACCAATTGACAATAGAGAAAATATTTTCTTATGGTTGGATCTGTGCTATGAGTGAATCATATATTTAAAAGTAAATTATTTAAATTTTACATAAATTAGGTATTTCTTAACTTCCAAAATGAATTTGAAGTGGCATGTGAGAATATTTTAAAAAGGCAGGACAAAGAAAAAAAAAAAACATAAAAGTTAAGTGTAGTACAGATGAGGAGAACATGGAACTGCATGTGAAATGCGGAGAATCTGCAATCTAGAAATTACAGGTTAAATGTAACTACAACATTGAACAGAATTTTTCTCTGATTTAATTTCCGAGCAGCCAAGACATAAAGTGAACCATACTGGGTTAATAATTCTCATATAATAGATGGAGGCATATGACTTAATCAAGAAACAACCTGTTGCTTAACTTTGAAACATCTGTGAATGTTATAACATGGATTCATTCAAGAATTTACAAGAACGAAGTTTAATCAATGTTCTTCAAAGTAGCTTTTTAACATCATTTAAATTATTGTATTGACGCTTGATACAGGCTTAAGGTAAAATTTTAAATTATAGTTAAAAGCAATTCAGTGCAGTTATTCATCTTTCTTGTTAATTTAACATGAACCAAATATACATAGTAAGAAACTGAGAAAAATAAGTGGTAAGAGTGGTCCTTAGAGCGTCCTCAAATATCAAATCTCTCAGGAAAGGTTTTTAAAAGATGCAACTCATAATTTAAATAGCCACTTTCTGAACAGTTAATTTTCTAACGTCCTGACTGAGAAAACACCAATATGCTTACTTCTCCGGGTACAAAGTTAATAAAGACTACTCTCAATACTTAGTCAAAGCCACAACCAAGTCTGTGGTATGCTCACAATATATTAAAAGAGAAAACAAAAAACATAAAGGGAGGAAAAGAAACCTCACATCTGTTCAAATAATATTCATTTTAAATAATAATTTAAAGTGAAATTATGCACAGATGTTAATTGGATCACATATATCCCCTCCCCCCCTTGGTTTCTCAGAAAGCAAGTTAGAAGTATTCACTGTGATAGATTCAGAAGTAAGGACCATGTTGAGAGTGTTTGCACAGAAGAAATCAAATTTAGTATTATTGAAATAAGGAGGGAAATATATTGCCTCACCTTCACTGCTCAGAAAAAAAAATGTGGAGGAATAAACTTTATTCTACTTATTCCTAAGGACATTATATCAAAAAATAGTACAAAATGACAATTAGAAATTATGTTCTTCACTAAAATGAACAAGGTTTTCTAGTCTCACTTTTTTTCAAAAGAAAGTATTCACTTAAGAAAAACCTGTGAATGAGCATAGAATAATCCCATATCACAAAGGAGCCCAAACTAAGTAGGCACCAGCTAAGGCTGAAACAAATTGAGCATTCTTATTCTCACCACCTGCTCCTGGCCTGGCCCAGGGTGACGTGCAGGGGCTTGGAGCCCACTACGCGACCATTCATCTCATCCACGGCTTTGGTAGCCTCTTCAAAAGAGGAGAAGCAGACCACACCAAACCCCTTGCCTTGCCCCACTTCCATCATCACTTTGGCCCGGCTAATTGATCCGAAGGAAGAAAACTCCTCCTTCAGTTTTTCGTCATCGATGGTCTCATCCAGGTTCTTAATATAGATAGGAACCCCTGGAGGCCTACTTTTTTCCTTTAATCTCAGCCGTTCAAATCTCCGCCTTAACTCAGCTAGACGTTCAATTTTCTTCTGTGCTCTCCCTACATATAGGACTTTTCCATCAATGGACTTTCCGTGCAGGTCTAGCACAGCCTTTTGGGCAGCCTCGTGTGTCTCATATCTCACAAATCCAAAGCCTTTAGATTTCCCACTGGCATCTCTTATTACTTTAACACTCTCAGTTGGCCCATATTCACTGAAAAGTTCCTTTAGTTTTTCGTCATCCATGTCATCTCCAAAGTTTTTAACGAAAACATTGGTGAAAGTTGCCCTATCCCTGCTTCTGACTTCAGCTGCCCGCTCTTCTGGGAATTTGAATCTGCCAACGTATACCTGGCGGTTGTTGACCCTCACTCCATTCATGTGCCATATGGCCCTATTGGCAGCGGCCAGGCTGTCAAAGTGCACATAGGCATAACCCTTAGAGCCATTGTCATCACATACGACTTTGCATGAGAGAATGTTCCCAAACGCAGAAAATAAATAAAACAGGGCCCTATTGTCTATGGATCTGTCCAGGTTTTTGATAAATATATTTCCAACTCCAGACTTTCTTAAGCGGTCATCTGGCTGAGACCACATGAGGCGGAATGGTTTGCCGTTAATCAAATCGAAATTCATGGTGTTCAGGGCCCACTCAGCATCTGCTGGAAAGCGGAAGTTGACATAGCCATAACCCAGGGGGCTGCGGGTCACCGGGTCACGACAGATTCGGGTGAAGCGCAGAGGACCAGCAGGCCTAAACTTCTTATATAGCATGTCTTCAGTGACATCTGGGTCCAAGTCACCCACGTATAGGGCAGCTTTAAGGTACTTCTTTTTCTTGCCAGCAGGATTAGGCTCCCCGCTCCCCATCTCTCTGAGCACAGGGAGGAGGTTCTCTTGGTAGAGAAAAAAGGCTGTTTTCTCTAAGCTATGGGCCAAACAGCTGTTCACGAACAGAAAAAGCCAAGGCAGGCGAAGGGAAGCTAAAAGCAGACTCAGAATCACTGTTGAGGCTGAGAAAATGAAGTTCAGAAACAGCTGGTCAGCAGGCTCAGAACACATGCATCAGACAAAAAGGCACCCCAATAACGAATCATAACGAATCTATTCTCCCTAGGAGGACTTAACATTTTCACTCGTTCAGATTCAAAAACCAGTATTAGGAACGAAATTTCCCTTTCCCCGTTAAATTGTAAGAAATCATCAAGCAGCTGGCTGGCTCCCCACATCTAGCATTGCCGACAGAGGCCTCGCGACCCGTTTTCTGCATAAATACAGGCCTCGAGCTCCTGTTGGTTTAAAATGCTATCAGCAAGGGCAGGGGCCGAGCGTGTATTCCTCCGCCGGCTGCCTGGCCGGTCTCGGCGGCCCGCAGCTTACTAAGGCCGCTCCGCTCTCAGCGTCAGCGAAAGGGCACACTGGATACTTGGTGCGCTGGGACCGGCAAGCAGGCTGCAGGCAGCGGACCGGACAGAAAGACAGACAGACAGACATACGCGCGGGGGACCGGAGACCCCCCAGATACCCAAGATGCCCACTGACTACGGACCGAGTGAGGCGCGGTGATTTCTGCAGCCTGAGGCTCGCGGCAGGTCCGGAGGGACTGACTGGCAGACGCGCAGTGGGTCAGCTCAGACGTGAGGCGGGTCCGGACAGATGCGGGGCGGAGTCAGCAGAGAAGGGCAGATGCGCGGCGGGCGGGCCTAGCGCGGACCGATGGGCAGGGGGTGTTCCCTGCAGGACAGACCGACCGCGGGACCAAGAGCCTGTAGCTGTGGTGGAGAAGGCGGGGCGCAAGGAAACCCGGAACCGTGCTAAGTAACTTCCCGCTTGCTTTGTGCCAAGATTTAAAAAAAAAAAAAGAAAAGAAAAAAAGAAATAAAAAGAAATTAAGACGGTTTTTAAAATTTTCTTCACTTATTTAAAAAATTTTCTTTATGTATTTATTTAAATATTATCTTTAATGTAGAGGCTGCTCATCCCGGAATCACAGAAGGAGGTGACGACCTGGGTGAAAAGAACTTATAAGTTTTTAAGATCGAATTCTCTAAGTCATTTTTGCTTAAGAAAGAGGATATAGGTTTCATACTTTCCTGACTGCATTGGAAAGTCAAAGTTGACCGCTGTACTGAGTTCTGAGTCCAGTGCTAAATGATCACAGGATAAATAGAACACAGGGTCATGTTGTGCTTGGCCTTTATCCTCACTCCCTTAATCTCCAACATAATGGTAGCATTGTCCCCAGGTAGTAGGCAAACACATCTTTTCTCTGCTCCGGTGATACTAATGTTTTAATGATTGGAGAGCAATAAAATGGCTTTTCTTGGTATTTAGTGGCACAAAACATTGAAGCTGTTGAGCTGCCTCCAGGATCAAAGTTACAATATATCAAAGAGATAAAAGCTGCAGAATCAATGCAAAAGATATAAGTAACATTTGTAAATAAAATAAACGTTAAGATACAGGCACTTTACACAATTGTCAATTTCAACACGCTTTGTCAACTTTAATCCATTGCTGGGAAGAATACCATGCCGAGGTTTCCGAAGAAGATCTCTGTTCAGGGTTTTTGAGAAACTGTTTTGGAGGGGAATTTTGCCCCTGTTTTTAGAAAACCGCCGATATCTATTATATACAAACTCCTCAAAGAGCATATTTCACAACCGGTCCACCACCAAGGAAAATACAAACAAAACATGTACTCTTAGGTCCGAAAAGATCCTGGGGAAAAAAGAATGAAAGAGAAGGTTATCATCTCAAAGAGTGTTTTCTTAAGAAGTAATTCTTAGAAAAACAGGCTAAATTCACATGCCGCTTCATTTTTCACACTGTACATTTTCTATTAGAATGTATAGTTGAGTAAAGGTGACATTTATTTACCCTCATTATTTCCTCAAAAACATTGTAATTTTCTTTATTGTGTTCTGTGCTTGCTTTCTAGCGTTCTTGTTTAGCTAAGACATGGAGACCATATGAGAAAAAGCAAATATGAACAAAAAATATTATACAGATAGACTAATAAACTCGTTTTACAGTATGACCACAGTGACCAACATGTGGAAACACTTGTGAACATCTGCTTAATTTATTGTATTTTGAACATTTTAAAATAAACATCTTTCTTTATATGCATAATTAACAATGGGCTGGAACTCTGGTCGGGTTTTTATTTTTCTCATTTAAATTTATTACTTTATTGAGAATGCTATATTAAAATAACATAAATCCAAGAGAATAGTTCGCACAATCTTATAACTGACTCAAATCAGCGTTTTCATTTGTTCATGGAACCATCTAAATGTTGTACATATTCAAATTAATTTGTACATAGTTTCTCTAAAATTATAGATAGAATTGTGTTGTTAAGATAAATATTTTCTTTTTTTGTTGTTGTTATTGATGTTGTTGTTGTTGCTGTTTGTTGTTGTGTGAGTGTGTGTGAGAGTGTGTGTGTATGTGTGTGTGTGTGTGTATGTATGTGTGTGAATTGATTCATTCACCTTTAGCTTCCTCCAATAAGTGAAAAACATGTGGTATTTCTTTTTCTCTGCCTGACTCGTTTCACTTAATATTATTCTTTCAAGGTCCATCCATGTTGTTGCAAA